CACGAGATGGTGTTTTTGGGCACGACAGGGTGGTGGGCACGACTATGAGGTGGGGGACACGACATGGGGTGGGGACACGACATGGCGTGGGGGACACGAGTATGGTTGGGGGGACACGCTATGGGGGGTTGGGACACGACCATGGTGTGGTGGACACGACTATTGTGGGGGGACACACTAGGTGTGGTGGACACGAGTATGGGTTGTGCCCCGACATGGGGGGTGACACAAATGGTGGGGTGGACACGAGTATGGTTGTGGAAAACATGGCGTGGGGACACACAAAGGCGTGGTGGACACGACATGTTTGGGGGACACGACATGGTGGGGGGACACACTAGGGGTGGACACGAGTATGGTGTGGTGGACACGACTATGGTGTGGTGGACACGACTATGGTGTGGTGGACACGACTATGGTGTGGGGGACACGACTATGGTGTGGACACGACTATGGTGTGGTGGACACGAGTATGGTGTTGTGGACACGACTATGGTGTTGTGGACACGACTATGGTGTTGTGGACACGACTATGGTGTGGTGGACACGACTATGGTGTGGTGGACACGAGTATGGTGTTGTGGACACGACTATGGTGTTGTGGACACGACTATGGTGTGGTGGACACGACTATGGTGTGGACACGACTATGGTGTGGTGGACACGACTATGGTGTGGTGGACACGACTATGGTGTGGTGGACACGACTATGGTGTGGTGGACACGACTATGGTGTGGTGGACACGGTTAAGGTGTGGACACGGTTATGGTGTGGTGGACACGGTTATGGTGTGGTGGACACGGTTATGGTGTGAACACGGTTATGGTGTGGTGGACACGGTTATGGTGTGGTGGACACGGTTATGGTGTGGTGGACACGGTTAAGGTGTGGTGGACACGACTATGGTGTGGTGGACACGCCTATGGTGTGGTGGACACGACTATGGTGTGGTGGACACGACTATGGTGTGGTGGACACGGTTAAGGTGTGGACACGGTTAAGGTGTGGTGGACACGGTTATGGTGTGGTGGACACGGTTATGGTGTGGTGGACATGGTTATGGTGTGGACACAGTTATGGTGTGGACACGGTTATGGTGTGGTGGACACGGTTAAGGTGTGGTGGACACGGTTATGGTGTGGACACGGTTATGGTGTGGACACGGTTATGGTGTGGTGGACACGGTTATGGTGTTGTGGACACGGTTATGGTGTGGACACGGTTATGGTGTTGTGGACACGGTTATGGTGTGGACACGGTTATGGTGTTGTGGACACGGTTATGGTGTGGACACGGTTATGGTGTGGACACGGTTATGGTGTGGTGGACACGGTTATGGTGTGGACACGGTTATGGTGTGGACACGGTTATGGTGTGGACACGGTTATGGTGTTGTGGACACGGTTATGGTGTGGACACGGTTATGGTGTGGTGGACACGGTTATGGTGTGGTGGACACGGTTATGGTGTGGTGGACACGACTATGGTGTAAGAACATGTAAACACAGTCATCTTGTAAACAGCCATGTAAACAATGTAAACAGCCATGTAAACAGTCATGTAAACAGTCATGTAAACAATGTAAACAGCCATGTAAACAGTCATGAAAACAGCCATGTAAACAGTCATGTAAACAGTCATGTAAACAGCCATATAAACAGCCATGTAAACAGCCATGTAAACAGCCATGTAAACAGCCATGTAAACAATGTAAACAGCCATGTAAACAGTCATGTAAACAGTCATTTAAACAGTCATGTAAACAATGTAAACAGCCATGTAAACAGTCATGTAAACAGCCATGTAAACAGTCATGTAAACAGTCATGTAAACAGCCATATAAACAGACATGTAAACAGCCATGTAAACAGCCATGTAAACAGCCATGTAAACAATGTAAACAGCTATGTAAACAGTCATGTAAACAGCCATATAAACAGTCATGTAAACAGCCATGTAAACAGCCATGTAAACAGCCATGTAAACAGTCATGTAAACAGTCATGTAAACAGCCATCATGTAAACAGCCATGTAAACAGTCATGTAAACAGCCATATAAACAGCCATGTAAACAGCCATGTAAACAATGTAAACAGCCATGTAAACAGTCATGTAAACAGCCATATAAACAGCCATATAAACAGCCATGTAAACAGCCATGTAAACAGCCATGTAAACAATGTAAACAGTCATGTAAACAGCCATGTAAACAGTCATGTAAACAGCCATGTAAACAACCATGTAAACAGCCATTTAAACATTCATGTAAACAGTCATGTAAACAGCCATATAAACAGCCATATAAACAGCCATGTAAACAGTCATGTAAACAGTCATGTAAACAGCCATATAAACAGCCATGTAAACAGCCATCATGTAAACAGCCATGTAAACAGCCATATAAACAGCCATGTAAACAATGTAAACAGCCATGTAAACAATGTAAACAGTCATGTAAACAGTCATGTAAACAGCCATGTAAACAGCCATGTAAACAGCCATGTAAATAGCCATGTAAACAGTCATGTAAACAGCCATGTAAACAGTCATGTAAACAGCCATGTAAACAGCCATCATGTAAACAGCCATGTAAACATCCATGTAAACAGTCATGTAAACAGCCATGTAAACAGCCATGTAAACAGCCATGTAAACAGTCATGTAAACAGCCATGTAAACAGCCATGTAAACAGCCATCATGTAAACAGCCATGTAAACAGTCATGTAAACAGCCATGTAAACAGCCATGTAAACAGCCATGTAAACAATGTAAACAGCCATGTAAACAATGTAAACAGCCACGTAAACAATGTAAACAGCCATGTAAACAGCCATGTAAACAATGTAAACAGCCATGTAAACAGTCATGTAAACAGCCATGTAAACAGCCATGTAAACAGCCATGTAAACAGTCATCATGTAAACAATGTAAACAGCCATGTAAACAGCCATGTAAACAGCCATCATGTAAACAGCCATGTAAACAGTCATGTAAACAGCCATGTAAACAGCCATGTAAACAATGTAAACAGCCATGTAAACAATGTAAACAGCCATGTAAACAATGTAAACAGCCATGTAAACAATGTAAACAGCCATGTAAACAATATAAACAGCCATGTAAACAATGTAAACAGCCATGTAAACAATGTAAACAGCCATGTAAACAATGTAAACAGCCATGTAAACAATGTAAACAGCCATGTAAACAATGTAAACAGCCATGTAAACAATGTAAACAGCCATTTAAACAATGTAAAGAGCCATGTAAACAATGTACACAGCCATGTAAACAATGTAAACAGCCATGTAAACAATGTAAACAGCCATGTAAACAATGTAAACAGCCATGTAAACAATATAAACAGCCATGTAAACAATGTAAACAGCCATGTAAACAATGTAAACAGCCATGTAAACAGTCATGTAAACAATGTAAACAGCCATGTAAACAATGTAAACAGCCATGGTAAACAATATAAACAGCCATGTAAACAATGTAAACAGCCATGTAAACAATATAAACAGCCATGTAAACAATGTAAACAGCCATGTAAACAGTCATGTAAACAATGTAAACAGCCATGTAAACAATGTAAACAGCCATGTAAACAATATAAACAGCCATGTAAACAATGTAAACAGCCATGTAAACAATATAAACAGCCATGTAAACAGCCATGTAAACAATGTAAACAGCCATGTAAACAATGTAAACAGCCATGTAAACAATGTAAACAGCCATGTAAACAGCTATGTAAACAGCCATGTAAACAATGTAAACAGCCATGTAAACAGCGTTTACAACAGCCAGTATATAAATGTTTGTCTTAAAACCGTCTTGCACAAAGGTGTAAATAATACGTAGAGTTTTACACGTAAATGATCCTTCCACACAAGTTATTTTCTAGGATCATCTGATACACATTGGTAGCTCCAATTCCTAGTATCATGAGCCTTTCAATAGCGTCAAGGGACACTGAGAATGATTTCCCATTTGAGATCTAAAATAGGGAAGTACCCATTTTCTGAGATCTGAAATAGGGAAGTACCCATTTTTTCAGATCTAAAATAAGGAAGTACCCATTTTGAGATCTAAAATAGGGAAGTACCCATATATAAAACAGGGAAATACCCATTTTGAGATCTAAAATAGGTAAGTACCCATTTTGAGATCTAAAATATGGAGTTACCCCATTCATTCACAGGCACGAGAGAGTAAGTTTATTCAGGTATACACAAACAGTTACATAGATCATCATACATAGCAGCGTATGTGTAGGGAACCTAGATTAATCCGAAATACTTACCAACACCTAAGTTCGTGGCAGTAACACACTTACTAACACCTAAGTTGATGGCAGTAACACACTTACCAACACCTAAGTTGATGGCAGTAACACACTTACCAACACCTAAGTTCGTGGCAGTAACACACTTACCAACACCTAAGTTCGTGGCAGTAACACACTTACCAACACCTAAGTTCGTGGCAGTAACACACTTACTAACACCTAAGTTGATGGCAGTAACACACTTACCAACACCTAAGTTGATGGCAGTAACACACTTACCAACACCTAAGTTGATGGCAGTAACACACTTACTAACACCTAAGTTGATGGCAGTAACACACCAACACCTAAGTTCGTGGCAGTAACACACTTACTAACACCTAAGTTGATGGCAGTAACACACTTACCAACACCTAAGTTGATGGCAGTAACACACTTACCAACACCTAAGTTGATGGCAGTAACACACTTACCAACACCTAAGTTGATGGCAGTAACACACTTACCAACACCTAAGTTGATGGCAGTAACACACTTACCAACACCTAAGTTGATGGCAGTAACACACTTACCAACACCTAAGTTGATGGCAGTAACACACTTACCAACACCTAAGTTGATGGCAGTAACACACTTACCAACACCTAAGTTGATGGCAGTAACACACTTACCAACACCTAAGTTGATGGCAGTAACACACTTACCAACACCTAAGTTGATGGCAGTAACACACTGTCTAGGTTCACTACGGTGTAGGTGGGTCCTGAAGTCACTGATCTTTCAGAGGTACACGTCAGTGTTGAAGTTGTGAATCCAAGGCGATCACAGATCTCTAAAACATCATTTAGCTTTAATATCACAGATCTAAACCACAGATCAAAGTTAAAATCACAGAATTCTGAAGTCTGGTTTAATTTTCTAAACACATTAAGCAGAGCACAGGTTAGATTTCATACCGTACAGTGTATACGCTTCCACCGAACACTTTATAAAGAATTTCCTGGAGATTTGTTATCTAATCTCTGATATTTAAGTTCACTGGGATATTTATAGAGCGTATTGCACGATATATTTTAGTTAAAAAACGGAAAAAAACGGAATAGCTCTATTTAGAAGGGGGAAATAGCGGAGGTGACAAGCGAGCATCCCAGAGGAACTCCACACAGCCCAGATGTTTGCCTACACTGTGGCAGCTCACTCAGGTATGTTGGGTCTGTGTGTGTGTGTGTGTGTGTGTGTGTGTGTTCACCTGTTTGTAGCTGCAGGGGTAGGTTCACAGCTCCTGGCCCCGCCTCTTCGCTGGTCGATACTAGGGCCACGCTCTCTCCCTGCTCCAAGAGCTTTATCGAACGACTTCTTGAAGCTATGTATGGATCCTACCTCCACTACATCGCTCTCCTAACATCCTTATGACTCATCTGTGTGTGTGTGTGTGTGTGTGTGTGTGTGTGTGTGTGTGTGTGTGTACATGCGTCACCCACACTCAAATATACCCTCAGGGTACTAAAAGCCTGCCCACTCCCTGTCGCACACACATGAACACACGCGCGTGCGATCACACACACACACACACACACACACACACAACCTATTTATAACACCAGTTTCTGTATTTCAAAGTCACACTCCAGCAAACACGAGCACAAGAACCTAGGATCAGCAACACGAACTAGGAGCCAGACTAAGGTGACTAGCTCCTAACCAACACCAAACAACACTAGTATTTCTGCATCAGAAGGCAGGTGGCAGCTTAGTAATATTCACTGACTAGGAGAGAGAGAGTCATTAATAGCATGCGTCGTGAGGGGTCAGTTTTCAGTCGTGGGTGAATGGATGGATGAGCCTTAAGGAAGGTGAGTATAGCACGTTCCTGTGACCGGGACCTGATTGCGAGGTGGGCAGGTGGGCAGCCAGCTGGGAGGTGGGGGGTTTACAGGGTAGGTGGGGGGTTTAAGGGGGTGTTGGGTGGGTGTCCGCCTTGGTAGACACACAGGCACCTGGGTAAGACGACTGACTGGCTGACTGGTTGGCTGGCCAGGGAGGTAAGATTGTTGTTCTTCCCCACCACTATCACCACTACTACTACTATCACAAACCACTATCACCACTGCCACCACTATCACAAACTATCACCATCACTACCACCACCCGTGGATTTAAGAACACAGGAAAGAATGAGCACTACACCAGGCCTACTGGCCCTGCTAGATAGGTCCAAGTCACTGGCCCATGCTACTGGCCTAAGCTGGTCAGGTCCAAGCCACATCTACATAAGAAGGAAGTAGCACAAGCTAGTCAGGTCCATCTCACACTCATTCATGTATTTATCTAACCTATTTTTAAATTTACACAAGGTTCTAGCTTCAATAACGGTACTCGGGAGTTTGTTCCACTCATCCACAACTCTATTACCAAACCAGTGCTTTCCTATATCCTTTCTAAATCTATATATATTTTTTTCAACTCAAAACCATTGCTGCGAGTCCTGTCTTAGATATTTTTTTTATCCCATTTACATCCCCTTTATTTATTCTTGTTTTCCATTTATACACCGCAATCATATCCCCCTAATACCACGTCTTTCTAGAGAGTACAGATTCAGGGCCTCAGTCTATCCTTATAGGGAAGGTTTCTGATACATGGGATCAACTTCGTAATCCTCCTTTGTACGTTTTCCAGAGCATTTGTATCCATTCTGTAATACGGTGACCAGAACTGTGCAGTATAACCAAAGATATATAAATCCGAAGAATAATCTGGTCACAGACCAGGCCGCGGGGGCGTTGACCCCCGGAACGCTCTCCAGGTAATCTCCAGGTAAACTCCAGGTAAACTCCTGTTATACTTCTTGCTATGATGCCAAGAATTCTATTCGCTTTATTGCAAACACTGTTGTCATCGGTAAATTTACTGTTGTGAACAAGAAAGGGCCCAACACTGACCCCTGTGGAACACCGCTCGTGACACTTCTCCACGGTGGCCCATGGCCTAAAGGCAAAAGCTCTCATTCACAAGGTGAGTGTCTGGGATTGATTCCCAGCAAGGGTTGAAACACTGGGCAATATTTCTATGCACTGGTTGTCTATGTTCACCCATCAATAAAATGGGTACCTGGGTGTTAGTGGACTGGTGTGGGTGGCATCCTGGGTGTTAGTGGACTGGTGTGGGTGGCATCCTGGGTGTTAGTGGACTGGTGTGGGTGGCATCCTGGGTGTTAGTGGACTGGTGTGGGTCGCATCCTGGGTGTTAGTGGACTGGTGTGGGTGGCATCCTGGGTGTTAGTGGACTGGTGTGGGTGGCATCCTGGGTGTTAGTGGACTGGTGTGGGTGGCATCCTGGGTGTTAGTGGACTGGTGTGGGTGGCATCCTGGGTGTTAGTGGACTGGTGTGGGTGGCATCCTGGGACAAAACTGACATAATTTGCGGGAAATGCTCAGCATAACAAGCAACTTTCTATACAGTAGGTGACTTTGGACCTGACTAACTTAGGCCAGTAGGTGACTTGGACCTGACTAGCTTAGGCCAGTAGGTGACTTGGACCTGACTAGCTTAGGCCAGTAGGTGACTTGGACCTGACTAGCTTAGGCCAGTAGGTGATTTGGACCTGACTAGCTTAGGCCAGTAGGTGACTTGGACCTGACTAGCTTAGGCCAGTAGGTGACTTGGACCTGACTAGCTTAGGCCAGTAGGTGACTTGGACCTGACTAGCTTAGGCCAGTAGGTGACTTGGACCTGCCTAGCTTAGGCCAGTAGGTGACTTGGACCTGCCTAGCTTAGGCCAGTAGGTGACTTGGACCTGCCTAGCTTAGTCCAGCAGGTGACTTGGACCTGACTAGCTTAGGCCAGTAGGTGACTTGGACCTGACTAGCTTAGGCCAGTAGGTGACTTGGACCTGACTAGCTTATGCCAGTAGGTGACTTGGACCTGCCTAGCTTAGGCCAGAAGGTGACTTGGACCTGCCTAGCTTAGGCCAGAAGGTGACTTGGACCTGCCTAGCTTAGGCCAGTAGGTGACTTGGACCTGCCTAGCTTAGGCCAGTAGGTGACTTGGACCTGACTAGCTTAGGCCAGTAGGTGACTTGGACCTGCCTAACTTAGGCCAGTAGGTGACTTGGACCTGACTAGCTTAGGCCAGTAGGTGACTTGGACCTGCCTAGCTTAGGCCAGCAGGTGACTTGGACCTGCCTAGCTTAGGCCAGCAGGTGACTTGGACCTGCCTAGCTTAGGCCAGTAGGTGACTTGAACCTGACTAGCTTAGGCCAGTAGGTGACTTGGACCTGACTAGCTTAGGCCAGTAGGTGACTTGGACCTGCCTAGCTTAGGCCAGTAGGTGACTTGGACCTGACTAGCTTAGGCCAGTAGGTGACTTGGACCTGCCTAGCTTAGGCCAGTAGGTGACTTGGACCTGCCTAGCTTAGGCCAGTAGGTGACTTGGACCTGCCTAGCTTAGGCCAGTAGGTGACTTGAACCTGTCTTGCATGGGCCAGTAGGCAACTTGAACCTGCCTAGCATGGACCAGTAGGTAACTTTTACCTGCCTAGCATGGGCCGGTAGGTAACTTGTGCCTGCCTAGCATGGACCAGTAGGTAACTTTTACCTGCCTAGCATGGGCCGGTAGGTAACTTGAACCTGCCTAGCATGGACCAGTAGGTAACTTGAACCTGCCTAGCATGAACCAGTAGGTAACTTGTGCCTGCCTAGCATGGGCCAGTAGGTAACTTGAACCTGCCTAGCATGGGCCAGTAGGTAACTGGGACGTGCCTAGCATGAACCAGTAGGTAACTTGTACCTGCCTAGCATGGACCAGTAGGTAACTTGTACCTGCCTAGCATGGGCCAGTAGGTAACTTGAACCTGTCTAGCATGGACCAGTAGGTAACTTGTACCTGCCTAGCATGGACCAGTAGGTAACCTGAACCTGCCTAGCATGGACCAGTAGGTAACTTGTAGCTGCCTAGCATGGACCAGTAGGTAACTTGAACCTGCCTAGCATGGACCAGTAGGTAACTTGAACCTGCCTAGCATGGACCAGTAGGTAACTTGAACCTGCCTAGCATGGACCAGTAGGTAACTTGAACCTGCCTAGCATGGACCAGTAGGTAACTTGTACCTGCCTAGCATGGGCCAGTAGGTAACTTGTACCTGCCTAGCATGGACCAGTAGGTAACTTGTACCTGCCTAGCATGGGCCAGTATGTAACTTGAACCTGCCTAGCATGGACCAGTAGGTAACTTGAACCTGCCTAGCATGGACCAGTAGGTAACTTGTACCTGCCTAGCATGGGCCAGTATGTAACTTGAACCTGCCTAGCATGGGCCAGTAGGTAACTTGTACCTGCCCAGCATGGGCCAGTAGGTAACTTGTACCTGCCTAGCATGGACCAGTAGGTAACTTGAACCTGCCTAGCATGGACCAGTAGGTAACTTTTACCTGCCTAGCATGGGCCAGTAGGTAACTTGTACCTGCCTAGCATGGGCCAGTAGGTAACTTGTACCTGCCTAGCATGGGCCAGTAGGTAACTTGTACCTGCCTAGCATGGGCCAGTAGGTAACTTGTACCTGCCTAGCATGGGCCAGTAGGTAACTTGTACCTGCCTAACATGGACCAGTAGGCAACTTGTACCTGCCTAACATGGACCAGGAAGTAACTTGTACCTGCCTAGCATGGACCAGTAGGTAACTTGTACCTGCCTAGCATGGACCAGTAGGCAACTTGTACCTGCCTAGCATGGACCAGTAGGTAACTTGAACCTGCCTAGCATGGACCAGTAGGTAACTTGAACCTGCCTAGCATGGACCAGTAGGTAACTTGAACCTGCCTAGCATGGACCAGTAGGTAACTTGAACCTGCCTAGCATGGACCAGTAGGTAACTTGTACCTGCCTAGCATGGACCAGTAGGCAACTTGTACCTGCCTAGCATGAACCAGTAAGCAACTTGTACCTGCCTAGCATGGGCCAGTAGGTTAACTTGTACCTGCCTAGCATGGACCAGTAGGTAACTTGTACCTGCCTAGCATGGACCAGTAGGTAACTTGTACCTGCCTAGCATGGACCAGTAGGTAACTTGTACCTGCCTAGCATGGACCAGTAGGTAACTTGTACCTGCCTAGCATGGGCCAGTAGGCAACTTGTACCTGCCTAACATGGACCAGTAGGCAACTTGTACCTGCCTAGCATGGGCCAGTAGGCCTGCTGCAGCACTCCTCCTCA